AGACCCCAGGCACTGAATGGGAAGGCCGAAAATTCGATCTTGTCCTGAGTGCGCATGTGATAGGTGCTGTGCATGGTCTTGTTCACAGAGAAAGACTATGTTCATTGTTCACAAAAATGTAGCTTTGTGAGGAATTCACTCCCTTTTTCCCATCCCACAGCTGCGAGTGTCTCCCGACCTACCCCGGCATACGCCTCCCAGAGGCTGGCGCAGATTAGGCGCTGAAAGAGAAGGACACGGGACGAGATGTTCTCCGAACTTATGGGCTGCTCCCGAGCCGAGGCGGCACAGCAGACCCAGTGGAGGGAGAACATGTTGCAATACCAGCGATCACACAGCGAACGGGAGGACAGGTGGCGGCAGGAAGACCAGGAGGCGACTCAAACGCTGCTTGGACTAATGAGGGAGCAAATGGACACGCTCCGGTGCCTTGTAGATGTTCTGCAGGACCGGAGGCAGGAGGACAGAGCCCCCCTGCAGTCTATCTCTAACCACCCTCCCCCGCCACAAAGTCCCATCCCCTCCTCACCCAAAGTCCCAAGAAGGAGGGGCGGCAGGGGCCGTGAAAACAGTCACTCCACCCCTGCAGACTGCTCAAGTACCAGACGGCTCTCATTCCCAAAGTTTTGATAAGTCCTTTCCTTCACTCCAAAAGCACCTCATCCAAGCCCCCATCCCAGTGTCATCCCCTAACTGTGTAGCTGTTAATAAAAAATACGTTTCTGTTAATTACTGTTTCCGTCAGGTTCTTTTAGAGGAGAGTGTGTTTGAAGGGGGTAAAGGGGGTTGGTAATTGGAGAGGACAGTCACCTTTACCAGGGTGCAGACATGGGGGCAGGTTCAGCAGCAGGTCACACACACATTGCAGTCACTAGGCACCCTGGTCAGTCTGGGAGGTGGTTTTCATGTTCTGTGTGGGGGGGCTATGTGAGTTTGTGGTGGGGAAGGGTGGTTACAGATCTTATGCAGCGGTCCTTAGCCTGGATGACAGAGCCACGCAGCAGGGGATCTGTACCCGCCCTCCCCCGCCACAAAGTCACATAGCCCCCACACACAGAGTCCCGAAAAGGAGGGGTGGCAGGCTCCATTGAAACAACCAGTCCACCACTGTGGACCACTCCAGGAGCAGGAGCCTGTCATTCCTCAAGTTTAGAAGCGTCCTTTCCATCACTACACCCGCTCCCCACCACAGTCTGTGTCCCAGTTTCAACCCTTTACCACGAAACCCTTAATAAAGAAAATGGTGTTAATGAACAAAGTTCCATTTATTTTATTTTTAAAGGTGTGTTGGAAGGGGGGCAACGGGGTGAAGGGGGTATGTAACTGGAGAGGATAGTCAACATTAAGTGGGTAAAGAAACGGGGGCAGGTTCAGCTTCTCTTTAAACAAACTTAATAGTCACAGGTTACCCTGCTCACTGTGGAACCTAGCTTTCAAAGCCTCCCAGATGCACAGCGCGTCCCGTTGGGCTCTTCTAATCGCCCGGCTGTCTGGCTGGGCGTAATCAGAAGCCAGGCGATGTGCCTCAACCTCCCACCCCACCATAAACGTCTCCCCCTTGCTCTCATAGAGATCGTGGAGCACACAGCAAGCTGCAATAACAATGGGGATATTGGTTTTGCTGAGATCAGAGCGAGTCAGTAAGCTTCTCCATCTCCCCTTGAGATGTCCAAAAGCACACTCCACCACCATTCTGCACTTGCTCAGCCGGTAGTTGAAGAGTTCTTTTTCACTGTCCAGGGTGCCTGTATAGGGCTTCATGAGCCAGGGCATTAGCGGGTAGGCTGGGTCCCCGAGGATCACTATAGGCATCTCCACATCCCCAACAGTTATTTTGTGGTCTGGGAAGTAAATACCTTCCTGCAGCCATCTAAACAGACCAGAGTTCCTGAAAACACGAGCATCATGAACCTTGCCCAGCAATCCGACGTTGATGTTGGTAAAACGTCCCCTATGGTCCACCAGTGCTTGCAGCACCATTGAAAAGTAGCCCTTTCTGTTAATGTACTGGCTGGCCTGGTGCTCCGGTCCCAGGATAGGGATGTGAGTTCCATCTATAGCCCCACCGCAGTTTGGGAATCCCATCGCAGTGAAGCCATCTATGATGACCTGCACGTTTCCCAGGGTCACTACCTTTGAGAGCAGTAGCTCAACGATTGCGTTGGCTACTTGCATCACAGCAACCCCCACGGTACATTTGCCCACGCCAAAGTGGTTCGCGACTGACCGGTAGCTGTCTGGCGTTGCAAGCTTCCAGAGGGCTATGGCCACTCGCTTCTGGACAGTCAGGGCTGCTCGCATCCAGGTGTCCTTGCGCTTCAGGGCATGGGACAGCAACTCACAAAGTTCCAGGAAAGTTCCCTTACGCATGCGAAAGTTTCGCAGCCACTGTGATTCATCCCAGACCTGCAGCACTATGCGGTCCCACCAGTCCATGCTTGTTTCCCGGGCCCAGAATCGCCGTTCCACAGCATCAACATGACCCATTGCCACCATGATGTCCACGGCATGGGGTCCCGTGCTTTGCAAGAGGTCTGTGCCACTCTCAGACTTAATGTCCTCACCGCGGTGCCGTAGCCTCCTCACCCGATTTCTCAGCATCTGCCTCTGAAAAAGGTGGATGATAAGGTGCGAGGTGTTGACAACGGCCATAACTGCAGCGATGGTCGCAGCGGGCTCCATGCTCGCAGTGCTGTGGCGTCCGCACTGTCACTCACCAGAAAAGTGCACGAACTGATTGCCCGCCGGCGCTTTCAGGGAGGGAGGGCGGGAGTGACAGTTGAATGACAACAGTTACCCAAAACCACCCTCGACACGTTTTTTTCCCCAGAAGGCATTGGGGGCTCGACCCAGAATTCCAATGGGCAGCGGGGACTGCGGGAACTGTGGGATAGCTGCCCACAGTGCACCGCTTCCAATGTCGACGCTTGCCCCGTTAGTGTGGACTCACAATGTCGAATTACTGTTCTTAGTGTGGATACACATGTTCGACTTTGTAATATCAGTTCCACTAATTCGATTTAAGTAAAATCAAACTACTCTCGTAGTGTAAACATACCCTTAGAGACACTGAGGACTGGAACTGATTTCAGCTGCCGGACAGCTCTGCTAGGTTTTTATTCATTTGCATAGGAAAACGCTGAGTGTTTAAATTCATTTCAAGCCCCCCCATTCAGCGAACTCCTGAACACACTGGAGATGGGTCTGGAAATCGATTTTCATTCGAAAAAGTTTTTAAAGGGAATCACTTGGATTTGAACTAGGAGCCTATTACTTTGCAGGGAAACAATCAACCACTGAGCTCTTTCTTTCAACAAAGGGTGTCATGTATAGCCCAGAGCAGGAACAATTTTTACTAACTGGCGGTTAGTAAACTTTATCTCTATACAAACACCACAGCTTACAAAATCCCCACCCCCGCTCTGTGTCACCAGAGCACAACAACGACTCTCCTTGGAGCACACACTGCTCCCCAGCTCCGTGCCCTTCAGTTGCTCCAGCATTGCTCCAATCCCTGAAAGGGACAGGGCACAGGTAACTAAAAGTGTTTTTAACATTTTTTACAACACTAAATAACCCTTGAATCCTAGTGTCACCATCCATTAAATTCCTTCAGCCTTATAGTTTCCCAAGTGCAATACTAAACTTCTCTTCAAATACAAGGGAGTGGGGATCAGTCAATGTTCAGAGTCATCCCACATAAAAGAACCATGTTGTGGTTCATACTGGTCCCATCCTGTGCCCATCGCCTTTCCCTCCTCTCCCTTAAAAGTTTTGGTATTTTGTATAGACACTTTCTTCCTTCAGGAGATTCCTGGGAACCAGGGCTGCCAGCCAGACAAACACCTTTAAGAGGAGGTGTCCCTCTCCCTGCCAAAGAATGATCTCCCTCCTTCAGTTCAGTGACAGCCTGAATTGTTCCTTATCCCAGCAGAGCTGGAGGATTAAAAGCAGCAACATCATACCCCTGTGTAGCTCGCAGGAATGAACACAAACACTCCCTGGTATCTGAGGAGATGTTTAGTTTTACCCTTGGTCAACTACAAGGCCAAAGGGAAAGGAGGTGGCACCAGATATAAAGAGTGAAACACGACACATCATAGTTATGCCCATAGTGACTGCAAAATCTTTGTATATACTTCTTATTATCATCAGTATATTGTTTTCTCTGGAGTCTAGACCTTGACTATACCTTGGCCAAGAAATTTGGACCATGATAAAAATAATCGACTACCCCTGGTGAAGGCAATGGACTTGACACCCACTGGGGTGTCCCTACACAGGTACAAGTACTAACAACAAGGCTGCCTTTTTGCCATAGTTTTTAATCAGGGCAATACATTGAAACAAACTCCTGTTAAATCATTTCTCAGCCCGAGTCCTTCACCCAGATTCCTTATGGCATTGGGCCACCACGTGGACGTTTCATTTCCCTCAATTTCACACAGAGACACAATTTCCTTTGCACAGATCCATGAACAGCAAAATCTTCCTGTGTCTCTGGTCTGAGCCAGGGCATTCGATTCCAGTGAACCCTTCTCTCCTGCAATGGTGATGGTCTGACAGAGGGGACGTGGCACCTGCATCCCTGACAGGGAGATATTGGCTCAGCTCTTTCTGCTGCTGTTAGTCCATGAAACATCAAGGATGGAATGCAAGACTGAGTTCATGCACCAACCTTCTGAAATATTTCAGTGCCCCAGAAAAATCCTGCCCCCTGCTATTGGAATGATGTGCTGGAGATTTGAATAGGAAAGGGACTGTCTGAATTGTCAGAGTGGGGAATGAACAACAATCTACAGCAATGTCGTTACACAAACACACTCTCATCCTGCTCCAACTGGAAGGGAAATGGGCAGGAATTCTCGCTGTTCAGCCAAGGACACACTTACACTGATGTGCAACTGTGAGTGTGCTGGGGAAGCTGGTCTGAGCAAAGAATTTGAAGTGACAATTCAGTGAGAACTGAATGATCTTGTAGTAAATCACCCATACATCAAGTAGTTGTGGCTGAGTGGTTAAGGTGATGGATTAGAAATCCATTGGGGTTGCCCCAGCGCAGGTTCAAATCCTGCCAACTACAGAAGCACTAGACTCTTGTTATTATTACTGCAGTCTCAGTGCCTGAGCATCCACAGTGTGAACTGGAGCCAGATCTAGTTTCACTCTGTCTACGCTTAAAACGCTGCTGTGGCACTGCTGTAACACTTTGGAGTATACAGTGACTGGAGGACTTTTCCCATCCCTCTAATAGCTACGTTGACAGAACAGTTCTTCCTTTTTATAACCAGGGCTTAGGTCAGCTTAACTATATTGGTTTGGGGGGGTGGATTTTTCACACCCAGAGAGACGTCACCATGCCAGTTAAGTGCCCAGCGTACACCAGTCCTTAGATCCCTCTTGGTATTTCAATGCAGGCACTGAACTGTGAGAGGAAAACATCAATTTACAAAGACAGAGACTGAATTCCCCACATTTAATCTCTCTGCACTTTCCAGAAAGTCACAAAATTCAATTCATTCTTGCTAGGACAGAGAAAAAAAATTGACACTAAGTTTTTGGCTTGGTTAAATAAAATTCAGTGTTTAATTAATATAGTAAAAGTATGTTCTGATTCTTTTAAATAACAGCATAACGTGAAAACAGAGACAAATCTTGTCAGTGACGACTAATTTCGCAAATGATCTTCCCATTATTAATTTCCACACCGCCGCCATTGGAGGTCTGGGCACCTCCAGTGTCACTGCTCTGCATTCCCCTTCCCCTTAGAATTGTTCTCGGCCATTCCCAAATGTGGAACATTGGGCAGTTCAGAATGTGACTAGTGACCCCGGCTCCTTCCTGCCCCTGCTCTACATTGCTCCACAGCAGCGTCTCCACCAGCAGAGTCACCCCAGCACTGCAGTGCAGCCCCCCAGGGTTCAGCAGGGCCCCCGGCAAGGACAGTGGGTGCAGCTAACAGCCCGGTGTGCCTGGCAGTGAGGCAGGGGCAGCCCGAGGCGGGAAACTCTGAGTCAGCTGTAAAGAAGCAACAACCCCCCATCCCCACAAGTCCAGAGATTGAATTCCACAACTTTAACATCATGACACCCAGTAGAAAGCCACATGTGTCAGTTGTTTTTTTCACAGGGAGATGCAAAAATCAGGTGACCTTATCTGATAAAAATATGACCATATAGATCATTATTGCACCCACTGTTATATATTTGCAACAAATCTGGTACAAAATGTGGCATGTAAGATGTCTATGAAAAGATTAGGAGTACTTGTGGCACCTTAGAGACTAACAAATTTATTTCAGCATAAGCTTTCGTGGGCTACAGCTCACTTCTTCAGATGCATAGAGTGGAACACACAGACAGAAGATATTTATACATACAGAGAACATGAAAAGGTGGAAGTACACATACCAATTGTAAGAGGCCAATCAATTGAGATGAGCTATAAGTAGCAGCAGAAGAAAAAACTTTGAAGTGATAATCAAGATGACCCATAGAAGGTGTGAGGAGAACTTAACATGGGGGAAATAAATTCAATTAGTGTAATGACCCAACCATTCCCAGTCTCTGTTTAGGCCTAAGTTTATGATCTGATGAATATGATTAAGCTATTTGTATGCATGTATCATGTTTGTATTTGAAGTTTTGAGCATTGGCTCCATGCCTGTATTTCAAATATGTTTGCTCCTGAGGTAACACCCACAAGTTAGTTAGCCAGTGAGTGGCCCATCAAAAGGACACAACTCACAATGGACCATGGGAGATGCCCATCTACACTGAACGGACTTTTCTGTGAACGTTCCATCTGAAGTATCCTGCAAAGTATCCATCCTGCAATGACTGAGAAAAATTGGGCATGGACGGGGACTTGCCCATGTGACTCCAAGCTCCCATTTTTCACCTGTGATTTTCCACTAGCTGTGCTGAGGACTTTGAAACAATGGGTTTCCCTCCACATGGCAGAAGATATAAGAAGCCCCTGAAACATCTCCACTGTGCCTCTATCCTGCTTCAGCCTCTTTCCTGCTCAGACCTCTGGACTATGGACTTATACTAATGGGATCATCTAACCAAGGGACTGAGGACCTTCCAGTGATTTGGAAGCATCCAGAGACTTATCAAGCCAGCAGTTTCTTCCATCACTGCTATAAGCTTGAACCAAGAACTTTGCAATTGTATTTGATTCCTTTAATCAATTTTAATTCTCACCTTTCTTTCTTTATTTTTATAAATAAACTTTTAGAATTTAGATACTAAAGGATTGGCATCAACGTGATTTTTGGGAAATATCTAAGTTATATATTGACCTGAGTGGAGGGCTGGTCCTGTGGGATCAGAAGAACCTCTTATTTGAAGAGATTGGTTTTAAAGAACCATTCATTTCTAAGTCTAGTGTTTTCGATGGTAATACAAGGACTGGAATGCCCAAGGAAACTGCTTTTATGATTTCTTGTTAGCTGGTGTGGTGAAGCAGAAGTTTACTTTTGTTGCTAGTTTGGTATGTCCTATGGGGGATTAGGCACCAGTCTTGGGGTGTATCTGCCCTATTTCTTAGCAGTTTGTCCTGAATTTGTCTCTCTCAGCTGTGGCCCACTGTGGCATGGTTACAGGCACTCAGCTCTCTTCCCTGTGCAGTGATCTGAGAAGATTGCCAGTGGAAGGACAGATGGTGGTGGACACACAGACACATGGCTAGGGCACCTGATGAGGGAGAACTTCCTTATCTCTGTCTGAGGTAGGTTGAAGGGGAAAGGATGGACATTGCTCATCTAATCGTAACCACATTGAGATGCTGAAGGGAGTAGAGCGAGGGTTTGTTACTAGCAGTAATCCAGCCCAATGGGCAGGAGTTAAATATAAAGAAAAGGGTCATGTGGAGAACAGGGTTTGCTCTCAGCACCTTGGGGAGCAAAGAAATCTGCCACTTTCTCTCTGTGAACTCAATTTGCTTTTCTTGTTCCTTTCCCTTATAGTGAAGATACAGAGAATGGAAGTGGTTAAACTTCTCCCGAGGGAATGAATCACTTGGCTTGGTTTCCTCTCACCATTGCCAGTGCAGACAGGAGGGACATGAATTGTTTTAAATGAGTCATGGACAGTGGATATTTTCATTGTTTTCTTTCTAAGCATTTAGCTCGGGGGTCAGCGTCACAGCCCAGTTAGTACTGAGGGAGCAGTGTTAATTAAAGGGCAAAACACTTCCTTAATGCAGAGTTAAGATTGTCTGGTGCAATATCAGTCCCTTGCAGAACCTCTACATCTGCAAAACTCAAACTTCTGAAAAGCAGGAGATGCAGTTATAGTTGCCCGCACCACCTTCATCCTCTCCTCTTTCAGCAACGTCCAGTTAACACCCTGCTGGCTGAAATCTACAAGCTGTTCACTACCTTTTAGCCCTTCCAACCAGACCTCCAACCCCGTCTTGGCCTGACGAGGCCCAACCCTTGGGCAAACCAGACTGGGGTAAGGATTGGGCATGGTCATGACAGTGACTGCAGAATAAGACCCCTGACCCCTACTCAGATCAGCCCCACCTCACTGATTTCTCCTCACTTGGACACACTGCTCCCCCTCCCCGAATTCCTGAAAGCCTGGGTAGGGAGCTTATTTTCCCTTGTGATGGTGCGAGCTCTCCCTCCCCACCCTGACACAGCTCGAGCTAAGATAGATCCCCCTCCATTGCTGCCCTTTGGGAAACACAGTGTTAATTTAGAGGAATCTGAGAAGGCTCAGATGGGGAGTGGCTGATCTCCACTCACATTCTCCACAGCTCCAGCCCCTGTTGTTTATTGAAAGAAATGACTCAATATCCCAGTTACATGTTTTATTAACATGAACAAATAAAACCAAGAACACACATCACTAAGGCTAAATGACTATAAATACTACTCAGCTAATGAAGGGTTAAACAATACAGTGATAAAGTTCAGGGCAAATCAGTAAATCGATGAGTTAACAAGGATATTGTGTTGGAATCAAGTCGTCAATTTAGTCAAACCATCAGATGAATACAGCAGAAAATCAACCCTTATAAATCCTAAAACAGCAACCCAGGGAGGCAGGTGCATATTTAGTGATGCCGAAACCCCAATCAGAGATTTTCACCCAGGCAGTGCATCCCAGATTTAGCCAGCTGAATATTTCAATACCGAAACCAAATTATTGCTTACATTTAGCCCACAACCTCAAAGCGAATTAGTTTTCTCCTCAGATTTCACTATTGCGTCGCTAATACTTCTCCTCACCCTCTCGCCCCAAAACACACAGACAGACCTTACAGAGACAGCAGTAAAAGAAGTTCAAACAGCTCTCGCTGAACAATGTACATCTGTCAGCTCAATTCCTTGGAATGCTTCCATAGGGAAAGGAGCATGCCTGCAGTCATTTCATAGGTCTTTCCTTTACAGAGAGCAGGGCAGATTCCACAGATCTACCAGGCTCTGCTCTCCACCAGCAGCCTGTGTCAGGAGGGGTCAAGCAGAGCCCAGAGCACTGCCCATCCTGTGATTCTTCACCCCCCGACTCCCCCTCAATCTTTGCTCCCCAAACCACCTTTGTGCCGCCCTCTTCACTGTGAGACTCAAACCGTGCCTCGCTTTCTGTATGTTGGTGTGGTTTTTATCTGTCGTGTTGATGTACATGTGGGTCCTGTGTGATTTTTGTGGACGCCTTGCACAGTTTTGTGTGCATGTGTGTATGATTTTTGCATGAATATTGTTTTTTGCTTAGTATTCCTTTGGTATGTGGTTTTTGTGCTTTCTTGGTGTGTGCTTTTGCTGTATTTTTTTGGTGTGCATTTCTTCTTTCTATGTTTTGTGTGGCATTCCCTTATGTGTATATGGCTCTGTGTGGGTCTGTATGTATGTGTGGTTTTTGTTTATGTCTGTGTGGGCCTGTGTGATTTTCTTTCTCTCTGTGTGTTTGTCTCTCTGTTTGTATCTTCATGTGTAAATTCACTGGGTGTTTCTCTGCTTCTCAGCAGCTGGGGAAAAGCCTCTTGGGGTAAAATCTCCTGCCCCACTGCCAAAGTGAGCACCGTGAGTGGGACCGGTAAGAGGCCCCACCAGGGGGGCTGGCCCTGCTT